GAGGAAGCCCCGCGAAGGACCTCCCTGGCCCCAGGCAGGGGTGGGGTGAGGCAGGGAGGAAGCAACTTACCCTCCCTCTTCTCCTGCCTCCTCCTGGCTGAATGAGGGCCGGACGCGGGGCGGCCAGAAGCAGGGGGCGGGGCTTCGTCATGTGCCCCGTCCCCTGCACCTCACCCGGGGGAACAGCGATCCTCCGCAATCCCCCCCGAAATGACCTCTGCCGATGACAGAAGGTTGTATCGTTTATTGGCTTCACAAAATATAGCGGTTATTGAAGCAGTTGCCAAGTTCTGTAACTGCCTTATAATGAGGAAGCTGTGTGCCAAATCCATTGTCTGAATGGTGACTGTGTATGCTTATGATTTATGCCAATAAAGGTTTTTTGAACTTGAACTTGATCAGACAGTTGCCTCCAAACATCCCCAACTGCAGGGACGATGCTGGCAGTGGACAGGGCAACAGTATCACCGGGAAACCACGAAAGGGGAGGAAGTCACTGGGGAAGCTCGCTCTTGGAGGAGCAGGCCGAGAGAGGGCCATCGAGGAGGAGTGGGTGGGCCTGGTCCTGCCCTGCCCTGCTTTCCAAGGCCAGTCTCGGGCACGGGTGTAGGGGGTGCGCACATCAGTACCTCCCCAACCAGGGGAAGACCGCGTACGCAATGGATTCTATGCATGCTACTGTTTGCGAGGAGACAGATCTGTCTTGAGGCCGTTGTTCCCAAGTTGCCACGGATAACATCGACAAAGGTAGCTACAGCCAAGTGGGTTGTCTTAAGACCAGCACGGTAGTGGAAGAGGTGGGATTCCAGCCAGGAAGTCCTGGTTTTGAAGCTCAGTCCCTCGGCCCCTCTGCTGGGCCAAAGCGCGAGTCACATGTGTGGACCGGGCGGACCACGATGGGAGGGAGAGGCTAGGTTCTCTCAGAGGCCTCTGTGTTTGTGATGTGGGGGCTGGGAAAAGGAGGACCCTGTGGAGGGAGGTGGCCAGAGAGAAGAGCCCAAAGGGGGAAAGACGGGGCAGAGAAGAGCGATGCGGGTGGTTGGGAGCCGGAGAAGCCCTCGATGTTTCTAGGCCAGTGGTTCTCAACCGGTGGAACGGGTTTTTCGTAACAGTTACTGAGACTTCGCTGTCCCTCAGTCCCATATCCCCCTGCAGATGTGACGTGCCATCTCCTGCAGGCGGTCCCCAGCCCAAAAGGCCCATGCCAGTAGTCACCTTCTGCCCTTGGTGTTTCTCCTAATCCCGCATCCCCTCTGCTTCTCAGTAGATGTCTTTGACGTGCCCCTTCCTGCGACCTGCCAGGGATTATCCACGGAGCTTCTCCAATTTCTTATGTGCTTAAAACGTAACATAAAATGATAATTACAACAGAATTACTGTTGTGTCCTTCTTGGGAAAAGGGGACTTTTTGTTTCTGTCTTGGTGGAACCCAGGTTCTTTGACAGAGTGATTGATGGGACGTAAGAGCTGCGGTGGCTCAAGTGGTTAAGACGCTGAACTGCAGGCTGTGGAAGGTCAGTAGTTCAGCAGTTCGAGACCTGAGTTGCCACTGACGGAGTGAGCTCCCGTCTCTAGTTCCAGCTCCTGCCAACCTAGCAGTTCGAAAGCAAGAACTTGCAAGTAGATAAATAGGGACCACTTCGGTGGGAAGGGAACAGCCTTCCGTGCGCCTTGGTGTTTAGTCATGCCGGCCACATGACCACGGAGACGTCTTCGGACAGCGCTGGCTCTTCGGCTTTGAAATGGAGATGAGCACCGCAACCCTAGAGTCGGGCTCGACTGGCTTTCGAGCAAGGGAAACCTTTGCCTTTAAGATACAAAAGGTTGAGAACCGCTGGTCTGGAGCAGTCCGCATCAGAAGCTGCCTTCTAGGGAGCCTGGCCGCCAGAAGTGACAGTTCAAAACTAGGACCCGGGGGGATGTTTGGCTGCTCTTCCTTTCAGACTGGCCTACCTCACAGGGTTCTCGAGAGGGTAGAGGGGCAACAGTGTCATATGAAGGTCCATCTGACTCGATTTAATCTGCTCTGAATGGTGGCAGCTCTCCAGGGTTTGGGGGAAAGAAAGGTCATGCCTGATGCCCGACGCTTGAGAAGCCTGGGATTGACCCCCTGCATTTAAACCTTGCCCTGCCTCTGGGCCACAGACCTTCCCCACAACAAGCTGTGGGGGTTTGCATCACAATAAGCCGCTGCTTTTCCTTCCAGGTGGCCAGGACCAGAAGAGTGTCCAGCACAGTGTCGTGGTGGACATGCGCGAATTCCGGAGTGAGCTTCCGTCTCTGATTCATCGCCGGGGCATCGACATTGACCCCGTGACCTTGGAAGTCGGCGACTACATCCTCACGCCTGACATTTGTGTGGAGCGCAAGAGCATCAGCGATCTGATTGGCTCCCTTAACAACGGGCGGCTTTACGGCCAGTGCGTCTCCATGTGTCGCTATTACAAGCGCCCCGTGCTCCTCATTGAGTTTGACCCCGGCAAATCCTTCTCCCTCCCCTCACGGGCGTCTCTCCATCAGGAGATCTCCGGCAACGACGTCACCTCCAAACTGGTCCTGCTGACCCTTCACTTCCCGCGACTCCGGCTCCTCTGGTGCCCTTCCCCATACGCCACCGCAGAACTATTCGAAGAGCTCAAGCAGAACCGCCCCCAGCCCGACCCGTTGGCCGCTGCGGCTGTTACGGCGGATTCGGAAAGCCTGCCCGAGTCAGACAGATACAGCCCGGGGCCCCAAGACTTCTTGCTAAAAATGCCAGGGGTGAACGCCAAAAACTGCCAGGCCGTAATGAACCGTGTCAAGAGCCTGGCAGAACTCATCACTCTTTCTCAGGACAAGCTGGCAGAACTGCTGGGCAACGCTAGCAGTGCCAAACAGCTCTATGAATTCATTCATTTGCCGTACACAGAAGCTGTTTCTCGGGGAAAAACCAAGAGGTGATGAAGGGCATTGGGGGCCCCCTGCAAATCTAATGGCAAAGGGACTCTGGTAACCGCTCTAGTGTCTTTTGGGCTCATCTGTGTGTTCGGGGGGGGGGATGATGTGCTGCAATCCTCTTGGAATTGTACCACTTCAGAATGCAGGTGAAAGCAGATCATGTTTAATTTTGACAAAGACTCCCTGGGTGTAGATAGGTTGCACATAAACTTTCAGCATATCCTTTGCCTTAATGTTTTCTCCATGTGGGGATTTAAAAAACAAACAAACCAAAAACCATGTAGGAGAACATTTCAGATTTGCTGCCCCCCCCCCGTGTTTTAGAACACTCCAGTCGAAGGCACCCTTGGACTGCGTCCTTTTTCATAATTTGATCATTAGCTCCATGTGGAGCATCATTCTGGGACGGTTTTGGGTTTTTTGGCATGGCTGGGCTAGAAACTTTCAAAGAAGTGTCCTACAGGTATTTACTAATTGAGAAGACTAGGTCTGACTTTCCACGACCCCATGGACCAGATCACACCAGGCCTCCCTGTCTTCCGCCGTCCTCTGAAGTTGGCTCAATTTCATGTTCGTTGCATCTTTGAGACTGTCTAACCATCTCATCCTTTGACGTCCCCGTCTTCTTTGACCTTCAATCTTTCCCAGCATCAGGGTCTTCTCCAGGGAGTGCTCCCTTCTCATTGGGTGGCCCCTTTTTAAAAGTGTCTCTGCGCGCGCGCACACACACAGAGAATACATATACCTGCATAGCTTATATAAGCATGCTTTTTAAAACTGCAGATGGCAAGTACCATCTTAGGAGAGGCATTCCCCCTTCTCTTGCTTACAGCAAGGGATGCCTCTTCTAGCGTGAGGATTTGTATGCGACCTACAGAGTCTACTGGTTGCTTCAGAAGTGCCATTTACTTCAGTGCAAGGGTAACCCATGAATCAACTAAAAATATGGTTTATGCTGATGTCTTTAATTGGGTGACATTCTTAGTCCACCCCCATCCCAAAGAAGCAGCAGCCAGTTTTGCTGGTTCTGGCCCCTGGCGAGGAGGAGGAAACAGCTCGGTGTGCTTTCCATATTGTGTAACCGATCGTGGTCTCTCCCCCCTCCCCCCCGCCTGGCCCGGTGACAATTCTGGGGTTTTAGAGGCCCCTCCTTTTCCATTCAGAGCCAAAAGCTTTAGATGTCTTTGTTCTGGAGTTCACAGAAATGACTGACGGATGAAGACCCTGAGGTGCAGAGACCCTGAACGTCTGCCCAAGGTGTGTTTGGAGTGGCAGCCCTTTCCTGTATAGGTCATGGTACAGATAGCAGTGGGAGGCAGCAGGTCTCCCTTAGCAGATGAGATGTGTGCAGAGGTGCCAGCTAGGCCAGGGTTAAGAAGAGGTGGGTAAGTGGGGCTGGAAGGAACTGGCTCTTCTGGAGAGGGACCTTTCCATCACCCAAGGTCTGCCGGGGCTGAGCAGTGCCTTATTCCATCCAGAAGTCTACTCGTTCCTAAGTTAAGCAAGTTAAGCACCGTTCCTCCTCTGGAGGCTCATGGGGTAGCAGGCTGTCAGATGCTTCAGGGTGAATCTTGGAAAGTGCCTAGAATCTCTACAGCCTTCTCAGCGTGGGTCATTTCCTGCAGGAGCGCACAGGAGCAGAGCTCCGGCAGTAAAGAGCCCAGGGGGTGGGCACATGCAACAAGCCCCACCCCCTGCTCCCAGCAGCCCTCAGTCAGAGCAAGAAGCAGCCAGGTAAGTTGCAGAGCCCCCCCTGGCCCCCCCGGTTCAAAACAGTCCAGTGGAGCCTGAGCGGTGGGTGTTGCCTTCTGACACACATTCGGTGATGTCAGGGTGTGTGGCGTATGCAAATAAGTTATGCTAATGAGTTATGCTAATGAGCTCCTGCACCTCTTTTTCTACGAAATGACCCCTGGTTCTCAGAATTTGCCCCAAAGGGCATCGGCACTGTGCCATGTGGCACGGGAAGAGCTGACCTTGGCCCCTGGAGAGTTATGCTGTGTGGCAAAGGCAAGCCCTCGAATATTTGTGGTGTGCTGCCTAGGGTGTCGGACTAGGATCTGGGAGTCCCTTGGTTGGGCTCACGCTTACAGCATAACCCGCCACACAGGGTTGTTGTGAGGATAAAAGAGATCAGTGTAAGACAGGCTGAATCCCCAGTGGGGAGAAAGGTTGAGGGTATAGATGAAATAAATATTTTGGTTAGAAATGGAGGGAAACGGCAGTTGACAGCCCTGGGGTGCAGATATGCTTGGAGCACAGACTCTTACCAACCCTGGATCCAAAAAGTCTAGAATACTGTTTGTCGCTAAACTAATTCTTAGAGCGGACTGTACAATGGATGCAGGAATTATTCTGTAAATGTTAAGTTCCATGTGAAGTGTTTTGGCTTTTGTGGAAATCCCACGCAAATGGCCTTGGAAGGCTGAGAACATAAGAACATAAGAGACGCCAATGTTGGATCAGGCCAAAGGCCCATCCAGTCCTACACTCTGTATCACACAGTGGCCAGAAATACCAGGTGCCATCAGGAGGTCCACCAGTGGGGCCAGGACATCAGAAGCCCTCCCACAGGACATTAGAAGCCCTCTCACTGAGCCGTCCTGTGAGGGCACAGAGGTGTTGTCCAGAGAAGGTTTCTTCAGGGTATTATACCTGCTGGCACACGGCCTCTTCCTCTCCCCCCCACCCCCACCCCAGCAATGTAATATTTTCCAGCTTCAAAAGGAATTTTA